CACAGAGAGAGAGAGAGAGAGAGAGACACGCAGACGGACAGACGAACAGACTGACCGACAGACAGACAGAGAAAGAGATGAAGAACAGAAGAACATATTCTGCTTTGGTGAGCATGGTAGCTGAAAGCCGAGCCCAGGGACCCATCCCAGGGTTGTATCTGATGCCCAGAGGCGAACCTAAACGCGGCTGTGGCATGAGCAATGAGCACACAGAGGAGGAAGAGGGCGAAGTCGCTTCGCCTTGTGCCCGGCTTTGCGGAGGAATCTGGCGGCTTGGCATAGCGGCCATATCTCCAAGCCCTGGGTAGGGTGCCAACACTGAAAAAGATCAAGTACTCAAAGGGCAAAGATCCCAGAGCGAAGCCTCCACAAAGCCTTCTTGGGGTGGATGCCAGACCAGCGGGGAGCAGCAACAGCAGCCAGATGGCAACAACCAGCTGCACCGGTTGCAGTAGCTTCTCCGGCAAGCTTAGCGCACGCCAGCGCTCAGAGTCCTCGCGTTGACCCGTGGTCGAGGCTCCTGAACGTGGCGCTCCTCGAAATTCGCTGGCCTTTCGCCGCAAGGCGTGGCGCCAATAAGAGGCTGTGAACGAGTGTCCTCCAAACCCGAACCTCACATCCTTGGAAGTTGCAACTCTCCGCATGCCCCGCGATTTCAGAGTAGCCGGCACAGGTACAGACCGTGGTGCCAGAAGACATGGCGTACTGAAGCCGGCCCAGGCCCAAGGCAGCATGGAGGGCAGAATCATTAAAGAAAATAAGGGTTTAGGGTTTAGTGTTTAAGGAAAATAAGGGTTTAGGAAGTTTAGGGTTACCCATAGGCCCCATAGTAGTTCCCTTTTTGGGGGATTACCTATTAGGATCCTAAATATAAGCCACAAAAAGGAAGTACTATGGGGCCTATGGGTAAGTTGTACAGAGGCTCGAGCTTGGACAAGAAGTGAGGCATGAGGCTTTAACATGCGAGCTTTCTGAAAAGGTGCACTGTGCAGACTGGCGTCAGCAGTCTCGTTTGAGTCGGAGAGCTACCATCGTTGATGTTATCTTCTCTTCACCAGACGATCTGTTTGTTGATGATTTTGATAGTGGTTTCCATGCCAACATTGATGCAGTATGTCATAAGCACTCATAGTATTGGTATTATGCTGATTGCAGGCCGTCCCTTGTACGGACAAAGCATCGGGGTTCGTCGAAATACACTGACACACCACCGCCCCTAGAAGCAGCTACAACAAGCACTTGGAGGTGTGATCCCCACTTTGCAAGGGTATTAGATCATGTTTGTTTGCTTTGTTGGCCCCTACCCTAAAACCCTAAACCCTAAACCCCTAAACCCAAACGAGTTACTGCAACAGGCTACCGGCCGAGTTTCTCCTGACTGTGCCGAACAGAAATCCTAGACCCAAGCTAGCGCCCAGGAGCGGCAACCTGTTCAACTATTACGATAATCTTGCTATTGTAGACTACTTTGGTTATGATGATGATGATGATGAGTCTTGTTATTACCAGTACGTGTACGTAGTATGATTGTACATCCTATACACTGCACTACTCTACCAACAGGTCTTCTAGAGAAAAGCCTGCACTGTATCACTCCGGTCGCTGTGATGCGTTCTTACATCCATCTTTCAGCACGGTATTCGTGCCAAAGTCTTGCGGATGCGAGCTGCGGGCGATGCATCATTGCAGTATGGTCTTTGAGCATTGAGGCCTGAAGTCCACGTTCTGAAGGAGTGTAAACTTTGAGCGAAGAATCTGCACAGTGGGAGAAGGCCATTAACGAGCGAGGTTCAACCTTGCGCCAGCATTGTCCCCAACGCTCACTCCTGCCGTTTTGACAGAAGGACCTGTGGCAACACTCACATGGGTTGTGGGTGGCTTGGGCGTGATGTCCAGCAGAGCTACTGACAAGCTCGAGATAACAGGGTTACAGAGTGTGACCACGAACATCAAACGCCAACATGGCCGGGCGGTTAATATACAAGCCTAGACAATTACCTATATTATTCCTTAGGCTAATATACAAGCCTATAATAGATAATTACCTATATTGTTCCTTAGGTCTGCTTACTATAATCATAGTAATATGGGCCCCAGAACCCTATTCTAATTAATAAGGCCCCTGCATTAAAGGAAACTACAGGTGGGGAGTTTAGGGTATATAGGGCCTCTATCAGGCTTCTATGAGGTATACAGACCTTCCTATAACGGTAACTACCCACCTGAAAATGTCCTAGACTGCATTACGTGGATGCATTTAGCCTTAGCACCAAACTCGCAGCCTCGGCGGTTATTATATTCCACGACTGTATGGCGTAATATAGGGGCCTTAATGGTTAGAATAGGGTTTTATGGTGTAGTCTACTCTAACTATATAAGGGGCCCTTCAAATCGTATAGGTAAGTATTAAGGCCCCTAGTAAAAACGTCGTCAACAGGATCTTGGGGTTTAGGATTTATGGGGATCTTGATGTGGCGCGGTTTTGCTGACTTCTGGGTTTTTATAGGGCTTGGGGATCTTGATGTGGCTATTCCGGTTTTTGCTGAAATCCGAGCCTCTCTGATCCACTCGCGCGAAACGTTCGCTCGAGTGTTTTTGTCCTAGTGCTTCTTGCGACAAGCCGGCTGGAGGAATTTGAGGCATCCGTTGAACGCCCTAAACCCTAAACCCTAAACCCTAAACCCTAAACCCGAGGGGCCGAGGGTCGAAAGAGGGTTTTTGACGAGATAGTGAAACCGAAGAGAAACCTTCACTACCAAACAAAAAAAAAAGCTCAACCCAAAAGACTCGAAACCCGGAACCCTCTAAGATTCCCAACCATACACACCTAACCGTAAACCCCAAGCAAATCCGAAACCCTCCCCCCGGAACCCCTAACACGACAACATGACATATCCCTGAATCCTAAACCCCTTCTGAAGGCCCATGAAGGCCCAAAGCGACCAGAAAGACACCGGCGGACCTCCAGGGACCGTCTGGTGTCCAGGCCGTCTAGCCAGGAGGACCTCAAGTAGAGTTGGGCTTAAGGCTTATAGGGTTTGGTTTAGGCCTTAGGGTTTAGGGTTTGGCGTTTGCATGGGTTTGTTGATGGGGTTGCTTTACATCGCTGCAGGACTTTAGGACGAACATTGCTTCTACAGGGATTCTGGAGGTTCTGGACAAGGGGTATGTATTACAGGAGGGGGGCTTCGTGATGTTCCTTACAGTTTGGGTTCTACATTCTTTGCACCGGGTCTAGGGTTCGAGCCCTGAGGTTCAGAAGGTCTATATCACGAATGTTAGGCCGACCCCATCCAAAAGTATCGGCCCCCGTGGCGATTCCCCCCTTGACCGGAATGCTTCTTTACACGCTACCCCAACAACAAAAGCACCGACAATAAAAGTGAAACTCAGACTGCACCCTCGTGGAACATGGGAGACAAGTCCCAACAACGTCCCTACACCCTAAACCCCACACCCGTAAACCCTAAATCCTAAAACCCCAAGTCCCAAACAGCCGAGTACTTGGAGGTTCATGGGTAGTTATAAGTGGGGCTGTCATTAGGGCAACTATAGTTATAACCCATATTAGGGGACTTATAACCCTACTTAGAGCTACTCATGAACCTCCAAGTAGCTCCTAAACCCGAAACCCTAAACCCTATCCCTAAACCCTATCCCTTAGGAAACACCTAGGAGCTAATTCTTATTAAGGCCCCTACATTAGGGGAATCCGAAGATTCGGGGGTTGAGGCTTCCAAAAGCTCGGGCATCCCAGCAAACGATCGCAGAGTAGTCGGATGTGCTGAAGGAGCCACACCTGTAATGTAAGGGGCCTTTTAGGGTTTAGGGTTTAGGGTTTAGGATTTAGGGTTTAGGGTTTCGGGCTGTAATGTAAGGTGCCCTTAGCAATTAGAACAGGGTTCTTTAGGGGGTTCCGTTAAAGGGTTCCTTAAAGGGTTACTATAAGGGCTACCATAAGGGTTGAGGGTATAGGGGCCTTAATAATTAGAATAGTGTTTTTGGAGGGGTTCCTTATTATCATTATAGTATAATATACCCCCAAACCCTATTCTATTTATTAAGGCCTCTATAGTAGGCGTCAGGGCTTCCGGTTATACGCATTAGGGCTTAGGGCTGCCATGCACTGTCGACTGTACACTTGGAGGGCTCAGGCTGTAGAGAGTAGTCATATCGGCAATAAGTTCCCGAAAAGGGGTTGTACTTTGTAGTTGTGCTTCTAAACCCTAAACCCTAAACCCTAAATCCTAGCCCCTAAACCCAGCTATTATAACTGCCCATGAACCTCGATTTGGGGGGTCTCGAGTCGGCAGAAGTTGAAGGCATAAGCCAAACGCTAAACCCTAAACCACTAAGAGTGGTTCCTGAACATAATTATAGGATAATATACCCCCAAACCCCATTCTAATTATTGAGGCCCCTGTAGTAACCCCAACCCTACAAAACCCTAAACCACTAAGAGTAGAAGCCACTAAGATGGAACATCATAATCCTCATGCTCCTCAGGTCGAGTATAAAGGATCCGAGCACTCATCATCTTGAACCCATGTTCCAACTTTCTGGGGTTCACTGTATGACAATCTGCTCTAAACCGTAAACCCTAAACCCTAATACCCTAAACCCTTTTCCCTTATTCTCTAAGCCGTAAACCCTGATACCCTCATGACAATCTGCTCCCCAGGACATTCATCCGCAAGCCCCATGGCCTTGAGGCCGCAAACTCGAAGTCCCAATCCACTACCCCCCAAAACCTCGAGCCCTACTTCCTAAACATTCCTAAGCCCAACTGCCCCCCCCAATCACTGTAGAACCCTGTTAGAAAAGCCCTAAACCCTAAATCCTGAAAGCACAACCCTAAAAAACAGGGAGAACTCCAATGCCCCCGAGTTCAGGGTTTAGGGGTTTAGAGTTTAGGATTTAGGGGTTTATAACCAAAACCCTAAACCCTAAACCGTTATAGGGTTTAGGGTTTAGGGTTTCCTATGCTCCCGAGCACCGACCTTCTGCATCCAGGAGAGGTGGATGGCCTGCCGAAGCTGGAGCTCCTATTTAAGGGTCCCATTAAGGGGTTCCTGCTTAGGGCTCCTACGAAGTTAGGGGGCTTTGGGTCCCTTTAAGGGGTTCCCGTTTAGGGCTCCTATGAAGTTAGGGGCCTTAAAAAATAGAATAAGGTTCGAGTTAGGGGCCTTAAGAATTAGAATAGGGGTTGGGGGTAGATCATACTATACTTATAATAGGAGCCCCCCCCCCAAAAAAAATAGTTTTGGTATTTCGTTAGGCCCCTATATTATGCTACTTGGGTACATGACTCTTTGGGTTTGGGGCGTAGAGTTGAAAGCTCTGAAAGTTCTTCAGGTTTTCGGGGTTTGGGCTTTTGGCGACCCTGAACCCGTAGCAAACCCGAAACCCTAAACCCCTGCTAAACCCAAAGCCCTGAGACTGAACCCCTAAGAATAAACTCCAAACAGAATAACCCAGAGACTCCAATATCCCTTAATTAAGGAATATACCTTAAATTATAGTAGGATCCCTAATGTGATTTAAGGTATATTCCTTAATGAAGGGGTATTGGAGTCTCTGGGAAAGCTTCAGTTTTCGGGTTTTGGGATGGCCTGCAAAAGCTGCAGCGAGCGATGAAGGCTCGGCACCTCGGACACGACTCTCGGCTTTCTTGATGGTTTAGTGTTTAGGGTTTAGGGCTTAGGTTTTTCGGATTTCTTGATGTCAGGGCTTTAGGGCTACTGCAAGAGTTCGAGGGTTTGAGGGTTTGTGGCAGTTGAGGGTTTAGGGGCTTTAGGGAAGGGTGTTAGGGTTACTATAATATCAGTTCTAGGATTTAGGCTTCTAGGGTTTAAGGCTCAAGGGCTCTAGGGCAGGGCTTTCGAGTTCCTAGAAAGGTTCTCGGGTTAGGGGCTTCAGCGCAGGGCTTTAGGGACTTTAGGGTTACCATAAAGGCTGTTGGTATTAGGTTACTGTAAGGATGCTATAAGGATTTCTTTAAGGGTTCTGCATGGGCTACTATAATGGGTACCCATCTGGGGGACTTTGGGCCTTACCCGTTGTTGTACGGTTCTGTAAGGATTTTGCAGGGTCTGAAAACCCCAAACCAGAGAACGTTTCGGACCGGCGACAGCTCCCTTGAGCTAGTTCCAACAAGAGAGCAAAATTGACCCTTCAACAAAACAACGATCACTCAGCCGCAGCAGAAACATCAGCTAGCATCTTGGCATTGCGGACCGCATCGCGAGCCTCGTTGTTCAGTGCGTCCGACGGTGTACATCAGCGTATATGCTTGCTGCTGTCCACCCAATGAGTTTCCACTTTTGTTGTTGTTCCGCCTCCCAAACAGCTTCCGGACGAGATTGCCGAGGATTGGACGCCCGCGTAAGGGTTCCCAGTTGTCAACATGTCGAGTATCCCCGCGTCGTAGACATCCAGAGCCCACTCTCGAGCGTTGGTCTTGGAATGTTTTGCATCCATGGATGACTGTCCTTGTCAACTTGAATTTGCTGGCAACGTCTGGCAAGCATATGTAGCTCAAGGACTAGGATCAGGGTTTATTGAAACCATCAATGAGCCGTCAATGAGGCATCCTCAACGGAACCCCTAAACACTTCCCCAAACCTTGGACCCAAAACCTTAAACCCAAACCCCTCAACCCCATACCCTAGGCCGCAAACCAATTAAAACAAAAAGTTAAAAAGCTTTCCGTAGCTCTTCCTAAGATCCCCAATAGCCCCTTAATAATACAAGTGCCCTTTCTTATATTATATTCGGATTTACTAACTCAAAAAAAAGGCACAAAAGGGTGGTCCGAGCTCAAGGCCAGCCAAAGTAGCGGCCAGAGCTCGTCCACATCCCCTTTCAGGGCCGGCCTCCCATTTTATCATGTTGGGGCGGTTTAGGGTTTAGGGTTTACTGTAGGGGTTTAGGGTTATTCTATCATGTTGGGGCGTACCTGGAGGATCCTGGGATGTAGTGAATAGGGTGCTAGACGCCCTAATGGTATCTATGACTATATTGATAACCCTAGCTTCTACGTCCCATGATCTTTGATCGAATGTAGGAGCCTCAATTACTAAGTCAGGCCTAAACCCTAAACCCTAAACCCTAAAGTCTCTTTTTAAAGGTTTCCTGAACTAGGGTCTGCAGGGGTTGCTACATGTTACTACAAGGGCTGCCGTAAGGATTTTAATCTTGGGGCCTTGACATGTAGAACAGGGTTTCGTCATTTAAAGGAACGTATTGGGTTCCTTGGGGAATGCTTAGTCTAGGGGCCGACTTCAAAAGTTGGAACAGGGCCTGGGGTGTGCTGCCACATCCGGGGCTGTCGTGAACGCCGGATGCTGCGAAGATACAGTTTCAAAGCTGCCGCGCCTCCACGCACGCCACACCAAAATTTCTTTGGCCCCGCAGTGCGAAGCCCTAAACCCTAAACCCTAAACCCTAAACCCTAAACCAAAACCCTAAACCCCTAAACCCCTAAACCCCTAAACCCTAAACCCTAAACCCTAAACCGAGCACCTTCCAGGGCCCGTGCTTCTTCAAACTGCCCGGATGGCACGCATGAGGTGACCAGTCCATGCCCGCCCGCACAAGAGGTTCAATTACAGGCCGTGTGCCGAGCTTTTGCTCTGCGGTAGTAGTGTCCAACTGGCGCTCCAAGTTGTCAGCACATTCGGCTTGAGTCCTTGAGTAGAGATGTACAGCGCCCACAATGGGGTTGCCCTTATTCAAGCCTGCACGCCTCTGTCCACGTCGGTTGATTAGGCCCTGTAAACTCCAAACCCCTAAACCCCGAAAGCTCTCAAGCCGAAAACCGTAACCCTAAACTCCCAAACCTCCAAACCCGAAACCGATGTGAGGGTTTGGGGCATGTTGCTTGCGGAGATGCTGAGGAGCTGGGCTCTTCTAAGAGTTGTACAAGGTACAAAGTTTAGGGTTCAGGGGTTTAGGGTTTGAAGGCTTTAGGGTTTTGTCTAGGGGCTCTACCAGGTGTATAGGGTGCTAGTTTTCGTGCCTTTGCAGCTTCTCTTGTTTGACTATATGGGGGTTAATGAGATTTGTATTACATACTCTTGCTAATGGTTCCACATCCTAGACAGGTTTAAGGCTTTAGGGGTGTCAGGTTTCGTGCTTAGGTCGCCGATGCACCGTAGTCTCAAGGTCGGATTAAGGTTTAGGGTTTAGGGGTACACTAGCTGCCATCACCAACATAAAAAGCATTATGTTTCTGTTCGATGAGAGCATGCACTTTAGGCTTCATCGCCCCGCACCAGCACTATCCCCTGCACTAGATCACCTTGTATGGCCATGTGCAACCCGCTAAAAAAGGGCGCCTTAATGATTAGAATAGGGTTTTGGGGCCCACGATACCAGATCTATAATAAGGAACCCCCGGAAATAATATAGGTAGTCATTAAGGCCCCTATATTATCTGTGTTGGCCTTTAAACCCTCTAAAAAATATTTATATAAAGGGTCCCTTATAAACCCAATTAGGGAAAATAAATAATGTCCCAAAAACCAACCTAGTTATGTCCATCACGATGATTCTCGCTGTGATGCTTCCTCTACCCGCTCCGAGGGGGACCCCTGGTCTGAACCTCAAGGCACAACTGCACGTTTAGGGTTTAGGGTTTAGGGTTTAGTTTTTAGGGTTTAGGGTTTAGGGTTCGGTTTTTAGGGTTCAGGGTCTAGGGTTTAGGGCATAACAATTAGAATGATTGGGGTTTTGGGGGTCTCCTTTAAAGGGGTCCTTAAACGGGTTCTACAAGGGCTACTATAAGGGTGCAGGGTTTTAAGTTGATTAGGCATCCCTGAGTCTTAACGGTTTAGGGTCTAGGGTTTGGGGTTTTAGGGCCTTAAATGGGGATTTCCGAAAATAGGGGACCCTAGTATAGTACCCTAAATAATTGGATCCTTATTAAAACGGGCCCCAAAATATGGCACCCCTAATTTTCGGAAACTCCCAAATCAGCAGATCATTTATTCGCTTGGCTTCTGGCAGTGCGTTGGCCGAAGCGTCCCGCAGCTCGCGAATCGCCTGCAGACGAGAGGAGACTTTTTTGCCAGGCTCCATAGATTCCTTGTAAGTCGAGGCTTTAGGGTCCTTTGGGGTTTAGGGTTTAGGGTTTAGGGTTTAGGGTTTAGGGTTCAGAATGTGGGGTTGCTATAACGGGTTCCTTAAAGGGCTACTATAAGGGTTTAGGGTATAGGGGCCTTCGTAATTAGCATCAGCGTGTAGGATTCAAGGTTCGGGTTCAGGCTTTTGTATTTGAAACACCGTTTCGGACCTGGGTCCAGATCTCAGTGGTTCCTCGACCAGAAGCACCGAACACATAAACCTTGAACCCTAAACCCTAAACCCCTAAACCCTAAACCCTACAGTTTTTAGGTTTAGGGGCTCCGGGGGGCGGTTTGGGGGGGGGGGAGATTGTCTGAAAGCAAGAATCGGGACAGCGAAGGAATAATGTGACCAACGCTATTCGATATTCAAAGTGTGGTACACTGTGCCCCAATCTAGCTCTTGGCGCACCTATGGTACTCCTCTTGGTGTAGGGTTCCTAAACATCAAAGCCAGGTTCTGTTCCGTGGTCATATACTGGGCTGTTCAGTAATTGCTCCACTGGGGTAAACAGGTAACATTTGGGCTAGATACCTAAACCCGAAGCCCTGAGCCCATAACCTAAAAGCAAAAACTCTACACCCTAAACCCTGAACCCTAAACCCTAAGAGCTGTTAGCTGAAAGCCCCCAAGCCCTAACACTCAACTCAGTACCCTTGGGGACTACAAGTTATCCTGCCGGCTTGTATGAAAAGAAACTCAACCGGAGTCTCACCCAAACAGAACCAAGGTTGCTTACTCCACTACTAAACCCTAAACCCTAAACCCTAAACCCTAAACTGTAAACCCTAAACCCTAAACCCTAAACCCTAAACCCTAAACTGTAAACCCTAAACTGTAAACCCTAAACCCTAAACCCTAAATCTGT